CATATACATATACATATACATACATACATACATACACACACACACACATATATATATATATATATATATATATATGTAATTTTATATATATATTTCTATTGGTATGTGTATATGACCTATTCATCAGGTTATTGTGTATACATCAGGTTGTGGAATATTGCAACGCACTTGAATACGGAAGACTGTGCACTACTCTTGATTGTCAATGACTGTTCTCGCCCTTTCTCCGAAAGTTTTATTCTACTATATCCCATGCCCATTCACCCCCCCAAAAAAACGACGCTATGTTTTTACCAATTAAACTTACCTAGCGTCTTTTTTTGGACCGACAGCGGAATTTATAGCCCCTGTTTGAGAGCCGGATGTGAAATTATCAGCACTTCGAGCAGCATTCGGTGCACGGCACCTTGTGACCTGAAACTTGGTATTGTTGTAGTATAAATTTAGATGAGAGCTAGATCTATAGTAGTATGAACATATCACGGGAATCTGCTATATGACTAGATAATGGTATGAAAGTTTCAGACTCGATTCGAATTTAGTAAAACTTAAGGATAAAATAAATAAAGTTGCCTTAGTTCAACTATTGCAGTTATGCATCGAACAAGATATGGATCTCCATCTTTAGCCCAATATATGACTGCAAGAGTGATCTCGATACACAAAATTAAACATGATTCCATTGCTGCTAAATGCACGATACATACGCACACAGTCGTATGAAGCAATTGTGTATGTATATGTACATACCGACGAAAAGTATGGCCTATTCTGCTGGTATGGATGCAACAGCCATACTAAAAAATGGTCACAGATCATAAAACGCCCACTCCAGGTTCCATAGGATAAAAACTCCCCCTCCGCATTTGTAATAGACGACACTCGTTATTGGAATGTGTCTGGGAATATACTTAGGAATATGTATATGACTATTCTAACGTAATTGTGAATTAGGTTTGCGACAACATCATAATTCAATACAAACAGAGCACATCTCCCAAGTCGGCATACATTAACCACCACAGTAGTTTCCAACATAGCTCTGTGAGTTGATAAAACACAATTGGGAAGTTGTCGTAGTGGATTGGCTGAAACTCCATTGCTTGCCTTTGGTGGAGCGCGCCAATAAAGTATACTCCAGAGCACACACATGCAGACGAACCATTCCATTGTTCGTACGTTGCGATGGTATGGATTCTCACGTGAGTAACGCAACGAGCGTACAATGCTTCAATCCTTCTGTAGAGATTGCATCGGGCGACGAATGCAAGTAAATACCACCGCAAGACTACCCACACACAACACGGAGGGTTTCACTGGAACAATTTCCTCAACCTGGGGCGAAGCAGAAAGCTGCACATCTCCAACCACCTTTTTTAAACATACAACCACGAAACTCTATACCATTGAATATCTACCAGCTGGGTACTAAGGGATCCTGTGCTACATGTTCACGCACGTTCAAACGAACGCGTCATTGGTCATGTCAGCGTGACGGATGCGGTTCAAAGCACGCACATAGACGAGTGAGAAAAAACCGGTTGAGGTGGCAGCTCGGATAACAATAGAAAACCCTCGGTTTCAGAACGTGAACTGGGAAAGTTGCTATCTGAAATTATGTATCTTGTTGACACTCCTTCGGGTTCAAAGCATAAGTGGTACGGAAAGAATTCCGTGAGAAATTCAGTGGTGAACCTCCGGGTTCGACGCGTGTATGGGTATGACAAAGTCTTGAACCAGTTCTTCGTTGGTATTATAAACCGTTTAAAGACACACTGGCAATTGAAACGAGAGGCTCGGAGCGCGACTATGAGTGTCATTAAAGATTCTAATGATATAAACATCCTCACATGCAACCTCAATAACTCATTTCAGACAATTTAATTGACGTTCCATCTCTGTAATTTAACTAAAACAATTTATTCTACTTTCCATCCCAAATTCTCTATCTTTGTCCTTGTATACCCACCACGTATAGATGACCTAGCACTTCCTGCTAACCAAGCATGTGCACTGAGTTGCTAACTGAAATATCCCGTGTTAGTTCTAATATACTTCACAGAAGTATCCCCCACCCTACACCTGATCAATACACCCGCATATGAGACACAAGACGGCCCCGACTCATCGATCCGATAACCAAGTGGATATGTGGATAATTTGGTGCCACATCATACAATCGCTGACTAGTGGCACGTGGGTGTACGGGTGCATGCTGTGCGTATAATGCGTT